GCCTGCGGAATGCAGACAGTCTCTCAAGAAATTTAGTTTGGGAGGAAAAGCCTGATATGTGGGAAGAACTGGAGGGGACACGAGGCCATAAGATGGTGAGGAAGATGGAAAAGTGCAGTCCCAGCACTAGCCGGTTTGGCTCAGTGGATAGAGCGTCAGCCTGCAGACTCAAGGGTCCCAGGTTCAATTCCGGTCAAGGGCATGTACCTTGGTTGCGAGTACATCCCCACTAGGGAGTGTGCAGGAGGCAGCTGGTCGATGTTTCTCTCTCATCGATGTTTCTAACTCTCTATCCCTCTCCCTTCCTATCTGTAAAAAATCAATAAAATATATTTTTTTTAAAAAAGAAAAGTGCAGTCCCAGCACAGCGGAAAGAGGCTGATGACTTGGAAGTTGGGCTCTGGAGTTAGGCTGATCTGCATTTGAATTTCAGTTCAATGTTTTCCACAGTATTATGAGTTTAGGCTGGTTGCTTCACTTTACTACACCTCAGTTTCCTAATCTGAAAAATGGGATAATTTTCATAGTATCCACTTCCCAGGAAGGTTGCAATGACTAGAGGCCTCTAATGTGCTTAGAAGTGTATATGGGACATAGTAAATGCTCAACAAATATTAGCTGTTACTGTGTTTAGGTTAAAAAAACAACAAGGTTTCAAGAAGGAGGTGGTAAGTAATATCAGATATGGTCGAGAGGACAAGGAGATGGACGGTGGAGAAACGATCAAGGATTTGGCAGAGTGCTAGCAGAGCCTGGAAACGGGAGGACAGAGGTAGCAGCAGCTAAGGAGTAGATGGGAGAAGGTGGAGGCTGTAGGCATGAGAAATAAGAGAACAGGAATTGGATGAGAGAAGAAGTAAAATCTGATTTGAGCTGCAACAAGAAAGTTGGAGGGGAATGTTGCTGGGAGTTATTTGGTACCAGGGGCAGAGGTGACCCCTTTTAATTTTTTAAATATATTTTTATTCATTTCAGAGAGGGAAGGAGAGGAAGAAAGGGAGAAACATCAATGATGAGAGAGAATCATTGATTGACTGCCTTCTGCACGCCCCCCACTGGAGCTCAAGCCCACAACCCGGGCATGTGTCCTGACTGGGAATCGACGCATGACCTCGTGGTTCACAGGTTGATGCTCAACCACTGAGCCACGCTGGCCAGGCAGTGACCCCTTTTAAACCTTTCAAATATTATCTCAGTTTGATGCCACAAATCTCCGCCTTTGCCATCTTTGCTATGCTAAGCCTGGACATATCCAGGAGGAACTGCTCTACAAATGGGGAATTGGTACTAAAGAATGATCCCTTGTGGGAATGTGGTGATGTAACCCAGCAAGGAGGAAGTGGGAGGGAGGAAAAAGAGGAGCTGAGAGGTAGGCTTGTCAAGTTTCAGAAGCCCGTGGAGCAACGGGCTACAGAGTGCCTGGCTCAGAGTCTGACAGAAGGTGGGAAGGACACAGGGCTGGAGACACAGGTTTAAGTGTCACAGTAGCAGGTAGTCACCCAAAGCAGGGGAATGGATAAAAACACCCACAGATAGATGGCAGGTGGCAAGAGGAGACAGCCCAGGAAAGAATGAGGCTGGTGAGGAGGGCAAGCCACGAAAGGAGAGGTATAAGAAAGGTTGGGCAGTGGAAGCTACAGAAAGAGCACTTCTCTTGATGGAGTAGAAAGAGAACCAAAAAAACATCCACTGAATGTCTCAATTAAGTAGGATTGGCCCGGCCGGTTGCACAGGTAAATCTTAAATAAATAAATAAATAAATAAATATATTTTATTGACTTTTTAAAATATATTTTATTGATTTTCTACAGAGAGGAAGGGCGAGAGATAGAGAGTCAGAAACATCGATGAGAGAGCCCCCCACTGGGTATGTGCCCGCACCCAAGGTACATGCCCTTGACTGGAATCGAACCTGGGACCGCTCATTCCGCAGGCTGATGCTCACTGAGCCAAACCAGTTAGGGCTAAAAAAATTTTTTTTTAAAGAAGGGACTGTAAGACCATTGCTGAAGCCATCTCAGTGGAGTGGTAGAGCAGAAACTGGATTTGGGTTGGTGGGGTGTGAAAGAAAGACAAGGGAGTAACGACAGTAAGCACTGCTTTCAGGAAGCTTGGTGTTAAATTAACGGAAATATACAGGGCAATAGCTAAAGAGGCATGGTGGTGTTTGTTTTGTAACAGTGAACAAAGTAGGCGAGACAACTTCAGGTGGCATGAGCAAATGCAAAGAGAGTGACAGAGAAAGGAGGCGGCCTTCCTCCGAATGCCTTGGAGTCCTTGTTATCCACAGCACGTAATATTTAAATACCCAGAACATTACATCACAAACCCTCCAGCTGAACAGGGGCATTAACTCCCCTGAGCGTCTCTGGGTGGCATCTGCTAATTCTTATCCACGGAGGTAGAGAGTCAGTAACTGTTGTATGTACGCATGTTGTTTCCTATCTCAGAGGCCTCAGTGGGAGTGCTTTTCCCTGCAGCACCCGCACCCCTCGTCTCCTAATTTTTAATCTTTTTTGTTTGCTTGTTTTAAATGTATTTTTATTGATTTCAGAGAGGAAGGGAGAGGAAGAAAGAGATAGAAACACCAGTGATGAGAGAGAATCATCCATCGGCTGCCTCCTGCGCGTCTCCCACCCGGGATCAAGCCCGCAGCCCCTGCATGTGCCCTGACGGGGTATCAACCAGAGACCTCTCGATTCGCCATAGGCCCGGGCCCTTCTTTTGTTGCCAGGGACACACGGAACCGTCTTGCTTGCCTTCCCCAGCCTCGGTCTTCTGCTTCCGGCAACCCTCGAATTGAATTCAGGGGTGGGCACAGGTGAGTCGGTCCTTAACAGGCTAAAGGAGGGTGATCGTTTCTGGATCCTTCCCTGCCTCGCCTCGTGATTCAGTTGTTTTCTCATCTTTTCTCCTTTTTTGTCCATTGTGTCCTGGGAAACAGAATCCTCCATTCGGAAACGGTGGGGTAAGAGGCACCTGATTGAAGGACGGCAAGGAAACCAGTGCCGGCGGCCCCCGGGCCCCGCCGGGGGGGCGCTCTTAGGCCGCGGCTGGGGAGCCGAGGCCGGGCTTGGCGTGGGGACACCTGGACCCAGGAAGCGCACGTGGGGCCGAGCTGCGCCCGGGGGCACGCGTGCTGTCCCGGCTAAAAATACACGCTGCCCGGCGCGGGCCAGGTCCACCCCTGGTCGCGGAGGCGCCTGCGGGAGGAGCGACTTCTGGAGCCGCATCATTCCAGGAGGGAGATGGCGGCTCCCGGGGCAGACCTCCGGGGCTCCCGAGAAACACAGCCTTCTCATCTGTGGAATGGGGGCCATTCATTTATTCAGGAAATATGGAGAGTCCGTCTGTGTTATGCCTGGCACTGTCCCAGGCGTCAGGCATAATTACGGAATTCTTGTCGCTGTGGAGTTCACAGTCGAGCGTGGCGGAGGGGACCATGGGCGTGGGGGGCCAGGAATTAATAAAGAAGCAAATGAACAAACAGGATACTCCCATGTTTTCAAAAACACCATGAGAAAAATAAAGGATGATGTCATAGGAGGGATATGTACGCTGGTATTTAAAGAAGTCAACCTGCAAGACTCGGAGGACACGTCTAGGCAGAGAAAACTGCCTGTCCACAGGCTCTAAGCCTGGCCAGTTGGACAAAAGAAGGGAGAAGGGAGCCGGAGAGGGAGGTCCTGCCTGACCAGCGACCACCGCGCCCAGCACGGACCCGGACACTCATTTAGGGTGGTCGCCGCGGTGGCCTGCGCGGAGGCCGATCGTCTGCAAGGAGCTCGAGGGAACTTCTGGGGGCGAGGGAAGAACACCTGGACGAGGACACCGACCACCTGGACTAACGCGGTTACCAGAACTCGGTGGAGAGTTGTGCATTTGGTTGTAAATTTTACCTGAAAAGCAAAGGCGGGAGTCGCGGGCTGTGAAAGCAAGCGTGGGCCGGGAAAACTGTGGTGCTGCGCCGTCCAGCTGGCTCCGCGGG